GTGTGTGTGGTTCTGGAGATTGAACCCAGGGCCTTGTGCATGAAGGCAAACACTCTACCAACTGAGCTATATCCCCAGCCCTTCCCCTCCCCTTTTGTCTGCGTCTCCCATCACTACCTATCGCGCTATGTTGCGTGTATCCTCAGACACCACGAGCAAACCCGAAAAAGGTGGTAGGCGTGGCTCCTAGAGGGATGGCTTCCACTCGGGTGACTTCCGGTGAACCACATTTCCGGTGGCGCTCCTAATGACGTAATGAGCGCGTCTTCCTCATGGGCCTGGGGACAGTACGGGCGGCGGATGGAGGTCAGCAAGAGTGTTCGCGGAGTAGGTCCCGCGCCATCGGGGGTGGGGGGAAAGAGCTACTGGGCGTGGATACTGAAGGCTAGAATACCGAGGTGTGATGGGCCTGGAGTGGATGGGGGCGGCGACCTCGGAGAGGGGGCTGGTAGGGGAGCTACACGCGGTCGATCCGGAGAAGGGCTCAACCTGGGTGTTGGGATCCTAGGGACCCGGAGGAGGAAGCCAGCGGGGACCCTGGACCGTGGGGGTGCGGGTGCTGGCGAAGGAGGCTGGCAGGGGGGCTGAACGCGGTGGGCTCGACGGCTGCCTGCTCGGTACAAGCTGGCGAGTGCGCATGCGCCCCTTCTGCCTGTGGCGTCCACGAGGCCGGGCCTGGAAGGTGCTTCCTTGCTGCGTTGACCCTTGGTGTCCCCAACGAGTCGATTTTCGTATGGCTATATTTGAGCAGCAGACTTCCGAGTTGATATTTGCCTAAGCCTAAGTGCGGCTTCTGGACTTATTTCCCTTCTCCAAACAGCTTTTAGAATTATCTTAAAAATTGGAAAGATTTTTCTAGCGCCTCCCCACAGTGCCTGGATTAAAAGTGGTAAATGTGGGGCTTGAGCAGACGTTCTTCTCTGTACCTGATATTTTTTTCCCTTATGTAGAGTTACGTTAAGCTTTTTACAGCTGCAATAATTGCTCGTATGAAAATATAATTTTACAGCCATATACTGACGTCCAGGAAGTAGAAGAAAATAAAAGGTGCTTTCTGTTTGGGCAGAAGCAAGGCTCCCGTTACGTATCTTAGCCAGGTTATTCAGTCACCTTAGGGAGCAAAACTGGCAGAATTGTTAAAAGTAACATCATAAGGATATGAAACAGGTTCTTGAAAGAAGTTGACATTTTGTGGAGCTTGGAAAAATGAAGTATTTTTTGATGGGCCCTCTGATGAGAAATAGCAAGCCTGCAGGGTAGAATGAAAGTGCAAAGCCTGGTTAGAATAAGGCCTTGGGTAATGGGGAGGTGAGATAAAGCTAGGAAGATAATTTGGGGCCATGTTAGGAATGATTTTTGTGATTCAGAAGTTTTGTTCTTAGAAATGAGGGAAGGGAACTCCAGTCTCCCTTGGTTTGGGGGAACTCACTCCCTTGTCTGGATTGTTAAAATATATCCACAAAAGCTTTAGGAAAGTGAGTTGAATAGCCTGAGTTTTCCAGGATCATTCTCTAAACCAGTAATTCTTAATCCTGGTAACCTTGTGGTGGGAGATGGGGGGATTAATGCTCTCTCAGCCTTACCTGTAGAGATTCCCAATCAGGAAGTATTGGGCAGGACCTAGTAGTCTGAATTGTTAACCGTGCAGGTGATTTTGAAGCACAACCAGTACTGAAAACTTTACAGGCTTCTGAGTTTTGATATTTGATGACATTATGTACTGAAACAAAAGCCCTCTGAGGTGTTACTTCAGAAAGTACTGTCTCAGAGCTGGGCATTATGGCAAGTGCCTGTACTCCCAGCTACTTAGGAGGCTGAGGAAGGAGGATCACAAGTTAAAGAGCATCTTGGGCAAGTTAGCAAGTCAGCAAGTCCCTACCTCAAAATCCAAAAAAAAGTTTGAGAATTTAGCTCATGATAAAGTGCCCCTGGGTTCAATCCCCAGTGCTACAGAGAGAGAGAGAAAAAAAAAACTATCTCACACATGGATAGTCAAAAAGGAGAAAGATTAAGGCTAGTTTTAGGGAGAGGGTAAGTGTGATTTCATGTCGTTTGTCATGTTTTTCTCCTGAATTTGTGGGTCAGGATCTGCTACTCTAGAACCGTCTTCTCTTTTTTTTCCTCAGGGCTTTGGAATCATTTGCTAGGAGTCTTATCTCCTGTACTCCCAGGCCATAATGGCAGCCCGTCTAGTGAAACAATGCACATACCTCCTGAGAGAAGCCACTCGCGTATCCCCTGCTATGGCTCCAGTTAGTCGACTGAGACTTGCCAGGACAGCCCATAAGACTTTGACCTTCTCAGCCATCTCACACAGTTCCCACTCTCCAGGTTCCTTGACAGAGTTGGTAGAAAAGGATCAAGTGTTTACTCCCTACCCAGAGCGCCAAGAGATAGACCGGCTCATCGAGAAGGCCACCAGTCCACAGGAGCTCTTAGAGCTGGTTGGTGGTGATCAGAGCCTGCACCACAATCATGCGGCCCTCATACTTATCCGCCTTTCTCACCTGCTATCCGAGAAGCCAGAAGACAAGGCCTTGCTCATACAGGATATTTGCTTTCAGCAACTTCTTCATCTAGTCAGTAGTCAGGTGGGTGCAAACATGTTGTTTGAGGGCTTAGAGGAAGGGATAGTAGCCAGAGGCACCAGTGAAGGACATCACCACCCCCCCAAGCATCTTGTGGTGGTTCTTTTTCTAAATTTCAAGTACTTTTATGTACTTTCTGCATTTATCCTTATAATAACCTTGGTAGGTATATATTTCTATCCTCATTTTATAGACAGGCAACCAAACACACAGTAACAAGTATAGTAAACAAGCCTGGTTCTTCTCATTTCCTTCAGTGCTTTCTCCCTTCACATATTGCCTTGATTTACATTCCCAATTCAATTCCCAGTGTCTGGGGTGCTGACTGGACACTACTGTTGAGGCTGGAGGAGATGCAGTATGACCAATGGATGGCCCCAAAGCTTAAGCTGGGCCTCAGTGTAACCTAGCCACATTCATACTTTGAAAGGATGAGCACAGAGAAGAGACAAGGCCCATTTATGTGACTCTCTGGAGTAGCACCTTATTTCAGAAAGCCAGTTTCTGCTCTATATAAGGAAAGGGCCCTTTACATAGTGCTTCCCTCAGCTCCATAGCAAAAAAAAAAAAAAAAAGAAATATGATTCCTATCTTCTCCAAACTGGCCATACATAATCTGCTGAAAAGGAGGTACTCAGGCACTGAAACCGTGTACCCAGTTGTCATACATGATGAGGAAAGGGTTGTGCTGAATATTGAATATATCAAGCTGAAGGGTTTTAAATCATTGTAATGCAGTATAGCTGGTTTTCCCATGAATTAGGACAGTATGGAAAATACATAGTTTCTTAGCACTTTTGTTTATTAGTTAGGTACAATGTGCTTGCACTGTGTGTACTGAGTTCAGGTACAAGCACATAGTCATAAGATTAATTCCATAGGTCCTTTCTTGTTCTGTAGTTTTAATTGTTACTTATTGAATGTTTTTCACACACTTGATTTAAACAAATCTTTTAACAAAACTAAACATTGGGAAAATTGTAAGGCAGTAACAACATGGAAATAAAGTATTTGTACTGTAAATAGTAACAATGCTTGCTTCCAGAAAATTTTCCACAGGATACCAGAAAGATGCAGATACCTGGACCTTGTGTGATACTATAATGAAGTACTTTGTTCTTCTTCCCCAACCCTTCAGATTGCAGCTATTCTGTTCCTAGCTTACTTCATTTCATAGGTGGTTTATGTAACCCCTTCACAGGTAAAGAAATGAGCTAAGGAGTTGATGTGGAGACACTGAGCACAGGAAATGATAGACATGCTTGTTTTACCATCTCCCATGGGGATGAGGTCTGGACCTCATTGACCTTTTGACTCCTTAACTCTGTGAGACCTTGAGACACTCCTTGCATGGGGCAGAGTTGGTCTCTTCAGAAATGAGATGGGCAACAGAGGCAGAGGGAGCCCGCTTTCTGCTGGTGATGGGGTCAGCTTATCTTTCCTAGGATACCTCGACATTTGGGAGTTGTCAGGGCGTAGTGGTTACTGGGTTTGGGGGAGTTTGGTTTGTTGGTTTGTTTAACTCACCTGTCAAGACTTTCCTGTGAACCTTCATGTATCAGGGAATACCTGCCTCTGAGGTAATCAAGAGGCTCCCAGGCTTAAGTCACTCTACTGGAGGATATGGGGTAGTGATACACTTGAGCCCTATCCCTGTTGATTTTCAGGATGTCATTTCTTCCACTTATTACATTAATTAGAAACAAGTGATTGCTATGTTGAAGTGAAGTTTTAAGGGTTGAAGTTTGGCATTGTAAGTAAAAGTAATGAGTTGTGGACAAGACTGACATTAGAAAGTCTAAAATGCTGCCTTCTTTGCTATCAAGTCATACCATGCTATCAAGTTAGACCCATACACTACCTATCTTGAACAGAAACTCTTGATTTATTAGCTTCAGGAAGCAAGCCCATCAGGGATAGGTGCCAAGCCCTGTTAGAGCAGGACAGGTGCTGTTCTCTGAAAGAGTTTTAGTAAATATTCCTGGAATGGCAGCTACGCCCCAGATGCAGAATATCTGGGGTGGCATATGTGATTGCCCTTTTCCTTTCTCTGTCCAGATAGGCACAGTCTGGCATGGGACTCTTGTGAAGCTGCTGCGGAGCTTATACATTTTGGCACTCCCCGGGACCTCTAAGGAACTGCAGTCAGTGGAGCAAGAGGTGCGCTGGCGCCTGCGGAGACTCAAATACAAGCACCTGGTCTTCCTGGCTGAGTCATGCGCTGCCTCCATGCAAGAGCAGCATTCCAAAGAGCTGCTGGCTGAGTTGCTGGTGCACCTAGAGAGGCGCTGGACAGAGATTGAAGATGGTCGCACAGTTGTGGCCATCATGATGAAGGCAGGGCACCTTTCAGAGTCATTGATGAATCGCCTGGAAGACAAGGTATGGGAATGAGAGCATGCTGCCCCTGGCCTGCCTCCCTGGGGACTTTGAATTTGTGCACTGGGACAGGAGCCCTAGAAACTTCTGTCTCAGTTGTCTCACAAGGAAGGACCAGAGGGCTCCAGAGAGCAGGTGGTTACTCTATGACATTAATTCAGCACCACCCACACACTACTCCTAATATAAACCACTTCTTTGATTGCATCTGTCTTTCTCCTATTTCTCCCACCTACATGATGTTGAAAGGCATGAGAGATAGTTCCAGAAGTTAACACGGGTGTCTTGGGCCAGCCCTTGCACAATAGCCCAGCTTCTGGAAGAACTCTTCCAGAGGTGCTGTGTCCCCCACCCACTCTCCTTGCAGTCAAGTCAAATTCAGCTCCCATCTTCTCATGGTGGGGGCTGGCCCAGATGGCTGCTACAGCAAGTTACGCTGTTCATGGGCCCTGAGTCCCCTGCTCTGGGACACGGGGATAAGTTTGGCTGCGGACATGATACTCTGGGTCCACGAGTCCCTGAGGCAGGGGAGGAGGCAGGCCCTGCCTAGATGGGCCTGTGTTGAGTAGCTCAGGCCCAGTTGCTGTCTCACAGGGACTGCACTGGATGGGACCCCTGCCCCCAGCTCATCCCTGCCACCTCAGGCCATCAAGCTGACCCCTGCGCGACTGTGGTTGACAGTGCCTGGAGCTGGTGGAGCAGTTTGGCCCTGACGAATTGCGGAAGGTGCTAGTGACGCTGGCAGCTCAGAGCCGGCGGTCGGTGCCCTTGCTGCGGGCCATCTCCTACCACTTGGTACAGAAGCCCCTCCCGTTGACGAAAGGCATGCTTCTGGACCTGGCTTATGCCTACGGTGAGGAGGGTAGGAGCCCTGGCAAGGAGCCACCTGCAGCTTTGTCAAATTCAGTGCTTATTCTACCCATGATAGGCACTGGCCCAGAAGGCTGCCACAGAAACATTGTGACTCATGGGCCCTGTTCCCTTTGACTAGGCTCAGGGATAAATTTGGTCACAGACAACAAACCCCTAGACCTCAAGTGTGAGCAAAGTGGCAGAGTGGGTAGCTGCTGGTTTCCCCAGCTAAGCCTTGTGATCTGCAAATTCAGGCAAACTCAGCTTCCACCAGACACAAGTGTCCCAGCGCCTGGCTGCTGACCTCCTGTCACTCATGCCCAACCTGACATCTGGTGAGGTAGCCCGCTGCGCCAAGTCCTTCGCCTTCCTCAAGTGGCTCAACCTGCCTCTGTTTGAAGCCTTTGCCCAGGTGAGCTGGGGACGACTTCAGGGCCCAAAGTCTGACCCAATTTAGAAATTGGCTCCTTAGGCCTCTGTTGGGAGACATTGTTTTAATTAGTGAAACAAAGCTAATCCAAAACATTCATTTTTTAGGTGGTAAATTCAGATTTCTTACTTTTTAGCATATTTGGAACCAGGTGTATAGTGATTAAAAAAAAGTATTTATATATATATATTTGAAAGCTGTTAACTGTGTTGTTGATTGTTGTGGTTGCATTCATTTTGAGGCAGCAGTAGCAAGGAAAGCAGAGGGTGAGGCTGAGAATCCTCAACTCTTTCTAGTTACTGACTGCCCCAGATGGAATTGCAGGGAAAGATGATGGCCTGCGCTTTCATTTCTATGCAGCCAGTCTAAACCAAGTGTTCTGATAGAGTATTTCTAAAGCCATCATCAGGGAGGTAGTTTCTAGAGGTCCCTATCCTCTATGGACAGCTGCTGGTGGTTGGAGAAGGGTCTGGCCCTGTGTGAGTAGTGGGAGTTTGTTAGCCTGGGATAGGGTCCTCCAGCGCCTCTGGAGGATTAGTCTTCACTCAGACTTCATCCTGTCCTTCTGCTGTCTCTGCATGTTTCAGCACATCTTGGACAGAGCCCAGAATGTTACCCTGCCTCACCTGTGCAGCATGCTTCTGGCTTTTGCCCGTTTGAACTTCCACCCAGAAAAAGAGGATCAATTCTTCAACCTGGTATGGACTTCTACTCACTACCCATTAACCTCTCCCTGCCCTCTGCTAGCTATTGGTTCTAAACTACCACTGGGTAAAAGGGGAAGGACCATGACCCCTGACTCTGGGTGGGTTAGAAGAGGAATAGCATTCCAGGGACCTTTTGAAAATAGACACAAAATCTCATGTTGTCCTATGGTGACTCCCTCGCTTCTTTCTCAGTGTACCACCTTTCAACACATTGCTGCTGGTGCCCTCCGGGGCTTCAGTAGTCCTCTGCAGAGATTGTCTCAGAAGGCTTGGCATTGGAAAGTTGGGGGTGGGGAGTGTCCTATGTGGACTAAGTGCACCAGCTATTGGGCAAAGGACTTTTTAGAAAGACCTGAGACGTCACAGAAACCACCAGACCAAGTTTGACCCCAGGCTTCCTGGGACAGTACTGGGGACTGTCTGATAAGCTCTGGTACCTTTGGCCAGGGTCCAACTCTTGCTCCCAGTGGCCTTCCCTGGCTGCAGTGTTATAGGTCAAGACAAGGTCATTGGCTGCTGTCTGCCCTTGCATGTAGCAGTCCCTAGGCAAGGCCAACTTTCCTTGCCACACCCTGTCTTCATCCAGGTACATGAGAGGCTAGAATCTGCACTTGCAAGCCTGGAGCCAACCCTACAGGTGGACCTAGTGTGGGCGCTCTGTGTGCTGCAGCAGGTGCGGGAGGTGGAGCTACAAGCTGTTCTCCATCCTGGATTTCACACAAGATTTCTAGGTGAGATATTTCCCCACCCACACCCTATTGCACTGCTGCAGCTGGGAGGCTGCCTGATTTGCCTACCTAGAGCTAGGTAAGAAATTGCAGTAGTGATAGGAGGAAGCCAGAGCACACCTCCAGGGCTTCTCCATCATTCCCTGCAGGTGACCCACAGACCTTAACTCTGCTGGCCCCAACCCAGAACACTAGGTCCAAGGCTGGGTAGGGAGCCACTATCCTCCCATTTAGGTTCTCTCTCAACCTCCATATCTGTTTCTCCTGGCCCTCAACCTGCCTGCTTCTCATCCCCCAGAGGGCAAGTGTCTAAAGGACCAGAGCACCCTCCAGAAGCTGCTCCACATCAATGCCACCGCCCTGCTGGAGCACCCCGATTACAAGGGCCCCCTCTTGCCAGCTTCAGCCTTGGCCTCCAAGCCTTCTGCCCCTGACAAGAAGATGACCCCCTTACAAAAGGAACTACAGGAAACACTGAAGGTGCTGCTGGGAAGCTCTGAGCGGGGCTGCCTTGAGGTGGCCACTCGATACGGCTGGGTGCTGGGTAAGGGCTCTCTCAGCTGGCAAAGAGCCTGACTCTTCCCAACTGTTAGTAGTTAAAATTGTTCTAACCCTTCTCTGCTGCAAGGAGCAGCCCACAGAATTGCAGTGCCCCCTACTCCTGTTTCCACATTGTAGGGATGGTTTCTGAGGGGGTGGTCTCTGAGGAGGTGACAGTCCCAGCAGGCTCTCATCCACACTTCTTACCAGATGCTGAGGTACTATTGGATGCTGATGGCCAGTTTCTGCCCCTGAGGGACTTTGTTGCGCCTCACCTTGCCCAACCAGTTGGAAGCCAGCCACTGCCACAGGGGGCTAAAAGGTAGGTGGCCAGGAATCTCCAGTAAATACATCACAGCTCTTGGGCTATATACATGGACTGGTCTCTCTCTTTCCTCCAAGGAGTTGAGAGCAGCCCTTATCAGCCATCCTTCTTCCTGCCAGGGTTGCTTTCCTGCGCTGGGAATTTCCCAACTTCAATAGCCGAAGCAAGGATTTGCTGGGCCGCTTTGTCCTGGCTCGCCGCCACATGCTGGCTGCAGGCTTCCTGTTGGTGGATGTGAGTACTGATTGGGAGTGTGGTCCCTTCTGTACAAGGAGAAGAGCCAGCCTACAGCTGGAAGGATATGGACAGATGCCTAGGCCAACAACCTCTCTCCCCTATCCCTGCCAAGTCTTAGAAGCTAGAGCTTGGCCCCTAGGGTACATCTGGAATGCCATCAAGCCTCCCATTTTAGCTTTGGAGGTGGGTAGGGCTGGGCATCTCGTTTACAGATGAGGAAGGGAAGCTCAGGAGGCTACACAACTATTGAGAGAGAATCAGAGTGGGCACTGGAGCTGCTGTCTGCCTCTCTTGTCAGGGTTGGTTCTCAAAAAAGGTAAGGCCCGCAGACTTGTCCAATGCTGTTATTATGTGACTACATAGAGTTCCACTGCAGTCAGCAGGAAAACACAGGCCCAGGCCTGGATAGAGTACTGGAAAATCTTGACTGAAACCAGAAGATGCTGATAAAGGGCCAGAGAGTAAATGCGTGTTTTTGAGGACTGCCTGCGGGTTCTATCATGTTTTCTTCTTTGGGCAGGTCATTTGGTTTTTCAAATAACCCTTTAAAATTCAGAAACTCATAGGGCTCTCTTCATTCACAACCTGTAGCTCCTTGGCCTCTTCCCTAAGGCCTTGGGGGCTGAGGAGTACGTATGCAGAGATGTCATTCACCAACACTAACCCAAGGATAAGGGGTCAGTATGAAGGCAGCAGGTAGAACCAAGAAACATGAATGGTCCTCCAGCCCTTATGACCTGTTCCTTCTGCTTCCCTCCAGGTCCCATACTATGAATGGGTGGAACTCAAGTCTGAATGGCAGAAAGGTGCCTACCTCAAGGACAAGATGCGCAAAGCAGTAGCAGAGGAGCTGGCTAAGTGATCTGTCCCCATCAGTCTGGACACTACATGCACACAGGCTGACTGCCCACAGGCCCAGCAGTGAATGCTGGGTAGGCAAGAACTGGCACCATTGAGGATGAACTGTCTCAGTGTATGACTTTTGGGGAGTGGCCTGTAGCCACCAGGAATCTCATGGCTAATAAATTTTAAATTTGGTGTTCAGAACCAGGTGGTTTTCCAGGCTTTGACCTCTCCTCTCCTCCGCTACCTGCCTGCTTTGGAAGGCAAGAAATGGCTCTTCAGGGCTTGGCTTAGAGCCCAGCAAAGGAGAGTTGACTTGAAAGACAGAACACCTAGGGCTCAGATCTCAGATGTCTTTCCCTGCTGCCTGTCCCAGCTTCTTTTTGGGGACCCTTACTGTAGTGTGTGTGCATCCACATGTCCCTGCTTATTACTGCCTGAGGGCCTGTGACCAACCCCTGTGAACAGGTAGAGTCCTAGAATTAAGAATTTCCAGGGATAAGAAGCTTCCCAGGGGAAGTCAATTGAGTTTCTAGTGCATAGCTGGGCTTTGCACTAGCTGGCTTTGCTGGGAGGCTCCCTGTCACCCCTTGTGTGTACACTTAGGTAAGTGGAAGGTCCACTATGATGGCTTGTGGTGACTCGTGATATGAAGGCTGGGTAGATAGGTGGGAGGCCCTGACTGAAGCCTTATGCTACTGTTTTGGAAATCATCTGCCCACATGGGGTCCTGAGGCAGAGAAGCACTAGGGTGTGTACCTTTCAGCCACCATCAGAAACTCCCATTGGTAGAGCCAACCTGTGGGGGGTGTGGGTCTCCTCTAGCCATTAGGTGAACCTACTCACCACTTCTCCCCACCTCAACCCATTCCATCAAAGAAAATAAGTATTTGTCCTGTCCACCACTTGGGGCCACTGGTTTTTATTTTGAGGTAATTGGGGCACCATATAGTTATTAAGAAACACTCAGATGTTTTCCTCTAATAGAACTGGATGACAAGGGCCTACTGTAATACTGGCATAAGCAGAAGTCAGGCTAGCTGTTCTCATCATCACATTGGCCATAGAACAACTCTTTCCTCAAACATCTGCAACCATGAGCCTTTATTACTATTTTGTCATCCTAAGAATGCTACCCCTAGCCAGGTGAGGTGGCACACACCTCTAATCCCAATGGATTGGAGAGGCTGAGGCAGGAGGATCACAAGGCCATCCCCTAAAGGGGATCACACAATTTTGACTTAGATTTAGAGAAATGAATTCTCAAGATTTCATTCATATCATTGCATATGCTGATAACTCATTTCTTTGTGTTGCTTAGAGCTGTGCAGCTCTTGTGTGTGTGTGTGTGTGTGTTGA